TAAGTTTAGGGAAGAAGAAGTGGCAAGATGAGATTGTTGCGGATCACGAAATTCGAACCCACCACGTTCTTAGTTTTATTTTACCAAATTTAAATTTGACTCCAATCAACCTGCTTTCAATTTTGCAAGCTATATTTAAATACTTTAAAACTTAAACAAACATTTTTTATATTAACATTTTTGGCCAGACGTTAGGCTTAGATCCACCACCTCTTTTTGCTTCAAAGTAAAATATCCCATATAGTACAAGACCTTTTTCAAGTTGAACATATTTGACTTATATTTGTTAATGTATGGGGTTTGAGGGAGAAAAAAAAAAAGAAAAGATTGTAGGTAACAAATAAGATGATCATCCAATAGAATCTAAAAAATTTACAATAAAATAACATTCTATTATATATACAAACGGATTTAAAAATTCACAAATTAGGCGTAACTATAGTGAATTACTAAACTCATTTTCTGGTTAATCTATTGACCAAAAATTACGATAAGAAAAAAACTTTTACGCATATATTAATTTTAAAACAAAAATATTTGTAATCATCAAATATATTTTATAAAAAATAAAAATAAAAACCGGTATTTCTCAAACGATCTTTCTAAAAAAATCTTCCAAAAAAGTTAGTGCATATCTTCTGTTAAAATTTGACAAGTATCACATAAATAAATAGAGACACTTTTTTGTGCAAAATAAATAAATAGAGACACTAGCATGATAAATGGCGTGAAATACTGAAGCAACACACTTGCTTCGTTTACAAACTCTACTTTGAACCTCACGTTCCTTAAGCTTCTCTAAAGCTCTTTTTTGATTCCCCATAACAACAACAACAAAAATATCACCCAAAAAAAAAAAAAAAAACCTAATGCGTTTCCTTTAAGGTAATTTTTTTTTTCGTTTTTATTTAATTTCTTACTTCCTCTGTTTCTCAACATCTCTAAGCTTTCATTGAACAAGGAAGATGAAATCTTCTCCAAGATCAGAAGGAAGAAAGTTCATAATCCCTTCTTTCTTCTTCATCATAGCTCTTTGTGTATTAGCTTTCATCAACGAGATTAGATTCGATAGCTTATTGAGTTTTGGAAGATGTGCTTTGTCAAATGTTCCGATGAATAACGGTTCATCGGAGACTCCATTGTTGTCTTCTTCTTCTGTTGATGATGAGATTCGGATTCTTATTGGCATTCTTACACTTCCTGATCAGTATCCACGTCGGCATTTTCTCCGGATGATCTACGGGACACAGAATGTTCCCGACGGTGTTAAGGTTGATGTGAAGTTTGTGTTCTGTAATTTGACTAAAGAAGATCAAAAAGTGCTCGTGGCTTTGGAGATTATGCGTTATGATGACATCATTATACTCAATTGCAATGAGAATATGAACAAAGGTAATTGGTTCTTCTTTTGGTTTGGTATATATATACAGAGGCTTGGTTATTATTTGGCATAATCATAAAGAAACTTGGTAATTGTTAGTTTTTTTTTTTTTGGTTCAATATCTACCAAGGTTGTGTTTTATATGAAACGAAAAGTTATAATTGTAACATTTTCAACTAATTCGATTTTTCCAAATATCTACAGGCAAGACTTACACATACTTCTCAAGCTTACCAGACCTATTCAATGAGACCGATGCACCGAACCCACCGTACCATTACGTAATGAAAGCCGACGACGACACATACATAAGACTAGAAAGTCTCGTTGCATCTTTAAGACCACTCGCTCGAGAAGATCTTTACTACGGCTATGTAATTCCATGTCCAAGCATGGACCCATTTGTTCATTACATGTCAGGAATGGGTTACTTAGTGTCATGGGACATAGCGGTTTGGCTCAAAGACTCGGAAATTCCTAAGAAACATCTAGAAGGTCCTGAAGACAAAGTGTTTGGCGATTGGATTCGAGAAGGAAGACGAGGAAAAAACCGGTTTAACGCTAAATGGTCGATGTATAATTTCCCCGAGCCACCAACTCGATGCACACATGAGCTTTGGCCAGACACTATCGCGGTTCATTTGTTGAAGAACCAAGAGAAGTGGATACGAACATTGAACTATTTCAATGTTACTAGCAATCTCAAGCCTTCAAAATTATACCACATACCGTAGATAGTCTTTTCGTTTGCTTTCATCGGATTCTTTCTTATATTTCATACTTAATTTGTTATAGTGATCGTTAAATAAGGCTCTCTAATAGTCGATAATTTTTTTGGTGGGATGTGTAGTAGTAAGTAAACTAATTAAGGATTGTTCAAAAGTCAATCTTGTGGGCTTCTTTTTATAGTTGCCCACAAAGCAACGTGCAACGTCTACAATTTTTGGTCTCTTTTCTTTGTGTGTCCATCTTCAATAGTACAGATTATTACATTAACTCATGAAGTAACCAAATTAAAGGAAAAATCAAAAAATTCGTCACCAACATCAGGGGTATAATCGTCATTTACACAGCTGAAGCGAAGGCGGCTTGGGGAGTGAATGGGCCTCACGAATTAGAAGATACAGTTTTGCCTGTGATATAAGTTAAATCACAGACGAATAAGCAAAAAAGCCCTTTCTTCTTTACTCAGAAAAAGCAAATGCGTGACCTAACGAACCTCAACGTCAAGTGACATTATCATTGCTCTTCTCTTCTTCACCTTTGAGTTTCTCGAGGGTCCTTTTTTTTTTTCAATTTTACTGCTAAATAGTGGTTACTGTCTTCAGCCGCCGTCGCCGGATTTCATCATCGAAGGCGACGGAAGCAGTTTTCTAGGGTTTATCCAACGAAGCTCCGTTTGATTGTCATCGGTTCCGTTTTTATTCGTCGATCTTCCATTTTCGTAAGGAATCTTCCTCCTCTCTTCTTATCGTTAGTTTTGATTCTTCTTCTTCTCGGAGCTGAGATGATATTTTGTTTTTGATTGCGTTACGGGAACGTTAGCTTCTGGAGATTGCCTTTTTTGATCGATTCGATTCGTGTTTGCTTCGATTCTATAGATAAATTGAAATAGTTTTTGGTTACTTGTTTGGATATTATTTGGGAGGAAGATGAGAACTGTAGTTGTAAGCAATAGAAGAACTTGAAGCATATCTAATTGGTTGATTAATGTGTTTCTGCTTTACTTTTGTAGGCATTGTTGTTTTCTACATCCGAAGATGGGAAGCAGTCCAGCTCCATTTGCCGATATTGGCAAGAAAGCTAAAGGTAACTTGGCAGATTCGTGGACATTGGCACATTGCTTTGGTGTTTGCGGTTCCCATTTATTGACTATTTGTGATTTGAAAACCTGCAGATCTCCTGAATAAGGATTACATTTTTGACCACAAGTTTACTCTCACAATGCTGAGTGCTACAGGAACGGTAAGTACGATATCACTTGGATCCTTTTACTTTAATAGACTATGCTCAACATACCAGGGAAGTGCTTATGAACTGTGGTATTACATGCTTTTTGAACCAAAATTATTGCAGTAAGCATGCTCTTTGATATCTATAGATCCAGTTAATGTACATTACTTTGGTATTCAAACGTGGCGTTTGATGTATAGTAAGTTGGTGAAACTTTGTTGTCATTCTAGTGTCATCTAAATAGGGTTGTTCCCCCCTCAAAGTAATGTTCTTTAATTGCTTTAAACCTATGTAAACTGTATACTGCATAATGATATTTTCTTTTCCAACAGGAATTTGTGGCTACTGGTTTGAAGAAGGATGATTTCTTTTTTGGCGATATAAGCACACTATATAAAGGTCAAAACACCATTGTTGATCTGAAAATCGACAGCCACTCTAGTGTAAGAAAAATTTCTCTAGTGATACATGTTTTTGCACCTTAACTGTCCTAGACCATATTACTGAACATATATTTCTTATGCAGGTGTCGACAAAAGTAACTGTCAAAAATCTCATGCCGTCTGCTAAAGCTGTTATTAGTTTCAAGATACCTGATCACAAGTCTGGCAAGGTCAGTGCATAGCCCATATGAGAAATGAGTATTATACTCTCAGTCTTATGGAAATGTTTGTCAATTTCTGTACTCAGTAGTTTGTGTCTTTGCTGTGTTTTCAGCTGGATGTGCAATATGTTCATCCTCATGCTACGCTCAATTCCAGCATTGGCCTCAACCCAACTCCTCTGTTAGATCTATCAGCAACTATCGGAAGCCAGAGTGTTTGCCTTGGTGGTGAAGTCAGTTTCGACACAGCTTCATCATCACTAACCAAGTACAATGCAGGGATCGGTTTCAACAACCAAGGCGTCTCTGCTGCACTCATACTGTAAGAAACAACACAATGCTCCATTTTTCAATCTGCTTTTGGTTATGGCTTAATGGGACGGTTAATATTTGTAGGGAGGATAAAGGTGAGAGTCTGAGAGCTACTTACGTCCACACAGTGAACCCAACCACATCCTTTGGTGCAGAACTGATCCGTCGCTTCTCCAATTATAACAACAGCTTCACCGTTGGAAGCTCTCACTCTTTGGATCAATTCACAGTGGTTAAGACCAGATTTTCTAACAATGGGAAAGCAGGGATGGTGGTCCAGAGAGAATGGAGACCGAAGTCTCTCATCACTTTGTCAGCTGAGTATGACTCAAAGGCTGTGACCTCTTCACCGAGGCTTGGTCTCGCCCTCGCCCTCAAACCATAAAACAAGAAAAGAGCTTTTATCAGTTTGGAAAACAAATTAAACAATTCAAATTTTCACCAAGTTGCTAAAAAAATCACCCCCAAACGAAAGGTTTGTAGGGGTATTAAATTTAACTTTTGCATTAATATTTGTTTTTTCATTGTGATGTGAAAAAAGAGGGAGTGAGCAAAACCCAATTTTTTGAGATGGAACTTAGTTTTTGTTTCTTTGTTAGACTTTGGTTTCATTTGATTCACTCGATCTGTATATACGACACCGTCTTCGTCTCGTGATTGCTAGCAAGAATCAATCCATTCCGATAAACAAGTCAATTAGCACAAGATCCGTTTGTTTTTCTCGCGGGTAACGGATATTATAAAGAGATAATTGGGTGAGAGACAACCGATCTGAATCAAATTAGTTTTTCGGTAAAACGTTGTCAGGTCCAAGACAACGTAAATATTTAGCCCACATTTCGGTCCAAAATATCCTCACGCGCTTCTCCTTTTTTGTTAATATCAGACTTTTGGATACCCATTTAACTTTCCTCATTGTTCCATTTTATCTCTCCTCTATAATATCCCTCTGTCGCCTTAAGTCTTCACGCCACCGTCGCCGTAAACCATCTTCATCTTTGTCTCATATTTTTTCTCTCTCAAAACCTTTCTCTTAGTCTCGTCGTCCTCTCATCTTCGTCTTCGAGAACTTGTTTTTGCTCCGGTGAAGTACATAAATTATGCCGTTGTCACTATTAAGTCGCCGTCTCAAAGCGTCTTCCTCTCTAATTCGGTAAGTCAGAGGGTAGAATTTACACGAAGTTTTGTTTCTCGATTTTTTTTTGTTTTTCCGATCTTATCACCCGTCGTTTCAATTGTTTCACTCTAATTTTGACTGGTGTTTTCCAATCTTACACTCTAACTTTTCTGTTAGGCCTCTCCGGATCTACTTGTATCTCTACTTATTAGATAGCTAGAGTTTGCAAATAATGTATCTCTACTTGTATATCTACTTATTAGATAGCTAGAGCTCTACGTTTGCAAATAATGAGTCTTATCCAATTGTGAATATCCATGTATTAACTTGGATTGCTAAAAACATGAACATGTAGAGACAGAACAAGGTTGGTCTTGCTGGATGTGGATTACGAGGGGGATGAACAGTTAATGGACCCGCAAGAAAACTTACGAACATGCAAACACAAAAGTATAGATCTATGCAGATTTGTGAATGTCCAAACCGGATCTAAGAAAATAGGTAAAGACGTAAGTGGATCTGGGAAGAAGAAACGACCAAGATACATAGCTAGAGTTTTTTTGCAAACGATGAAGAAACATTAGATTTAAAACCAACGACTGTGACTAAGAGCACAAACAAAACAAGAAATTTTGGAGTGAAAAGGGAGAAGACGACGGAGCATATGCTATGCATGAAATCAATCGAAACATGTTTTTTTTTGGAAAAAAATCGAATTTAATCAAAAATTCTCAATTAGTTAATGAATTAATATTTATCTATAAATTTAAATACATGTTCATATATTTTCATAGAGTCATATATCTTATGTAAATTTAGTATATTAGACCTCTATGTGTTTATATAAATGTCCAGTTTTTGTCAAGCGACATTCGTTTAGATATACAGTTACATCCCTTTCTAATTTCTATAAACTGCTGTTATAGATAACTATATTTATCTATAAACGCAGCGCCTAAACTTTGTCTTTTGATTTCAAATTCCACACCCTCAAACGAGAGACACACGCATTAAATAACCATCACCTCGTATTGACTTTTGCTGAATAACTATCACTTCTATCTGACATATTAAAGGCAAGTCAGAATGTTCTTTCGGTTGCACATAGAGCCACCTCTCTTCGCCCACGCGCATACGTACCACGCTGGTAGTTTTTTTTGTAATTACTTCAAACCCCGAGCCTCTTTACCAAGTTTTTTTTAGCATTGTCTTGGACGTCCAACGCTATTGTCTATTAGCTAATTTACTCTCCCATTTTTACTTCTGCGCAAATTCTCCCTATTATAAACGGTTATTTCCGATTTCCCCCATAACAAAGAGAAGAAAAATTCAAAGGGATAGATCAGTCGTAGTAAGCAAATAAATTGGCTTCATTCGTAGAAATCACAACTGTTGTGTGGGCCGTCCCGGGCCGGCCCATCCGCACCAAAAAATGTTAGATGCAACCTATTAAATCTATGCATGGGCTAATACTGTATGTTGTAATTACCTAAAAATGAGAGAGAGATCAAAAGGCAAGTGGATTTGGTTAAGTAAAAAATAAGAGCGGATGATTTTGTATGTGGGGAATGGTAAAATTATTATTGGGAACTATCCACTTGTGTATAGCAAAACATATAGTAATAATTTGTTTTTTCTAATTTTATTTGAGTTTGCGATTGTTTTGTATAGGTTCATCTAGAGATAACCATTTTTACTCAGTGTATATAAAATGAATTATTTCGCTTGTAGTATTACAACCATATATTTAAGGTCAAAAATCTTGACCAATATTTACAACCATGTATTTAAGGTCAGAGTCTTGACCGATATTTAATGTTCTCAAGTGTTCAACATCTTTGACATTTCTGTATTCTTGTAGAGATAATTTCCGTTTAATCTTCATAACTTGCAAACTTCAAATACCAATATTTTGTTGACCAAAAAGTAACAAGTTTGCTCATTACATTTGCCCATTAATTAAGAATAAAATAAAACAAAAAAGAGTTAACTTGTTTCTGTAAAGAGAATATTATCTGTATGGTATGTTTTTCATTTGTGTAAGGAATGACAAAGCAACATTTATTGTATTGTAGATTCAAAACAATAGCTTAGGTGATTCTTGGTGCTATGCATATGAAGTTTATTTTGTCTTGTAATCTACGCTTTGATCATGTTTCCCTTAATGTCACTTTTATTTTGATAATGTGAAGATACTATGATATATATTTAAATTCGATTTTTAGGGTCCCAAACATCAAAATTGGAAATGACAAATGTTATATAATTTAGTCCAACTCATACAATGTACTTAATGTATCTGTCAAACTGTCATGTCTTTAAAATTTTCTATTCCAAATTATTTGCATTGTTTTGAACTGCCGCACATGAAATGTTTGCCTCTATTGATTCCAAACTTGGTTTATTCTGTGTTAAAACCCTTGTTTGAAAAATCGCTAGGCGCTAGTCGGGCGCTCGGCATGGGCCTAGCGATTAATCGAAAAATCGGATTAAAATCGGCGATTAATCGGGGATTAGTTTTAGGGTTATTTTAATATTTTTAAAACATATTAATCCAATATTGTTTTCAAAATTGCAGTAAACACATAAAAATATATTTTTGAGACAAATTTTTATGATTTTTATTACAAATTTATGATTTTTATTAAAATTTGAACATAAATTATTGTAAAACATTACAAACTCCCAATTCAAATGATTGAATAACAAAAATAAAAAGTTTTTTTATACTAGCAATCTAAAAATAATCGGATTAGGCGGGAAATAATCGGATTAGGCGGAGAGTAATCGGGTGACTGATTTCTTTAAGGGATTAGTCATTAATCGAGGCGGATAGAGTGGGCCTAGCGATTAAACGGAGAGTAATCGAATCTAGGCGGGGATTTTTAGAACAGGGGTTAAAACTACCTCTTTTTTTCGTTGTTGTTAAAACTACTGTGCTTGTTAATAATGTAGTTTTTTATTTCACAAGAAGCATATACAATAGAATTAATTACTGGATTGGTACTTTCCCACCAACTTCTTACGAATTCAGGTCTGATAGTCTGGACTTAGGTTTTTAGGCATTTATGAGATGATAAAAAGACGAAAATGACCCTTATCACATTGTCGATTGTGACAGCCAAAATCATGACGACAATTTTCTCTCTCTTTTCAATTCCTGCGATGGCCGATGGCCGATGATAATAATATATCTCCAGCGATAATTAAACTAATGAAATCGATCATAGGTTAGAGTTAAGATTGTTTAACAGAGCTTGGTTTGTTCGTTCGGATTATTATGAGGAAAGAAAAACAGAGCTGTTTGTTCAAAAAAGAAGAAGATAGGAGCTATCACCAACAGTTCTAGTCGCGATTTTTCCAGGATCTGCAATAGGAGCCCTTGGGTTTACTAGATACTATCCCTTAGGGTTTAGTTTTGTTTATTCAAAACACAATTAATTATTGAATTCATCGGAGCTCTGATATGATGTTGTTGGTGGAGATGTTTTGTGTTTATCGATGGTGTCGATGAAGTTAAAGGTGATGGATTTAACGTAGAAGTGTTGATCGGAAAATACAGGGAAGAGAAGAAACGGTGGCTGTGGTTTGGGAGAAGAAGGAGAAAGAGATAGAGAATACAGGGGTAAAAAAGTCTTTTCTTTAGTTAGAAAATACCTAATATTGTAAGACTGAGTAACTAGTTCCCATATTGAAAGTTTGGGCCCAAAAAAGCCCTAAATCCGTAATAACCCCTATACAATACAATAGTTCGAATTAATAAAATAAAATATCAGTAGATTACTAGACAATTTTCCTTGGATTGGAGGAAACTCAACGTGAACAATTTTTTTCGTCACTCAACGTGAATATTATTTCGTGAACATATCTCCAAAAAATTGTAACGTTTTTCCATATTTAAAAATCACAAACAAATACCAAAATGTATTTTTCTTCTCCATGTTAGATTTTTCAAAGGGCATTTTAAATAGCTGTACTTGTCTATAACTTTTACTCTGCAACAACCCCAAAATCTTTTTAACCTTATTCACTTTTGTGAACTATCACATCATCACATCAACTCTTTACCTTTTTATATTCATACCTCCTGGAAATAATATATTTCTTTTTCGTTAAATGGAAATCAAATTTTGGTTATTTTATTCAATTTACACTGTAATTACTAGACCTAAAACCCAAAGGTTGCGTGCCTAATAATCAAGTGAATTACTTTCATTTCTCCTAAAAATGTAAAACAAAAAGAAAACACATACTGTTACATTATTAATCAAGATTGAAAAGATGACAATTTTGACACACACTAGAAATCCGTTACAAATTTTGTTATTTATCTAAAAAAAGTCTAAAGACGTTACTTGAAAAAGCAAAGGAAAAGTCTAGACATTAAATCCATTTATTTACGAAAAGAAAGAAAACAAAAAGGAAAGTCCCAAACAAATATTGACAATAAATCACTCAAATCCAGCAACTCCATTACTAATTAGCCTTAAATTCAACATTTCATATTCAAAGAAAAACCCCAAAACCCAATTTTGTATATACTCTTTTCTTATTTCTACACTTGTTCTCTTTTAATGTCCCCACCTATATGGCTATATCTCCCTCTTTCCTCTTTCACCATCACCAGGCTAATATTATAGCTTTCACATATTTTCTTTTCTCTCTTCTCTCTTCTTGATCTCTCAAAGCTTTCACCTTTTCCCTTCTTCTCCCTCAAGTTTTCATTGGAAATAATCTCCAATCGATAAATTCAACGAAACCCATCTTTTATCTCTCCCAATCTCTCAAACCCCACAATTCTCTCTCACCTTTTACAAAAATCCTCTGTTTTCTTCACTCTGTTTTGATCTCAAAGCAAAAAAATGAAAGAGTATTGGACATCATTAGCTTCACTACTCGGAGTTTTAGCTTTTTGTCAAAGCTTAATGCAATCAATATTCCCACCGGAGCTCCGTTTCGCTTTCCTCAAATTCTTCAACAGAATCTTCCACCTCTTCTCTATTTACTGCTACTTCGACATCACAGAGATCGACGGCGTCAACACCAACGAGCTTTACAACGCCGTTCAGCTTTACTTAAGCTCCTCCGTTTCAATCGCCGGAAACCGTTTAAGTCTCACCCGCGCCGTTAACTCTTCCTCCATCACTTTCGGTCTCTCCAACAACGACTCCATCGTCGACACCTTTAACGGCGTTACAGTTCTATGGGAACACGTCGTTACACAACGTCAAACTCAAACTTTTGCTTGGAGACCATTACCTGAAGAGAAACGTGGATTCACTCTACGAATCAAGAAAAAGGACAAGACTTTGATACTCAATTCTTACCTTGATTACATCATGGAGAGAGCTAATGAGATTCGTCGGAAAAATCAAGATCGGTTGCTTTATACTAACTCAAGAGGTGGGTCTCTTGATTCAAGAGGACATCCATGGGAATCTGTTCCTTTTAAGCATCCAAGTACTTTCGAAACTTTAGCTATGGATCCGATAAAGAAGCAACAGATTATGGATGATCTTAAAGATTTTGCTCAAGGACAGTTGTTTTATCAGAAGACTGGTCGGGCCTGGAAGAGAGGTTATTTGTTGTACGGACCACCAGGGACTGGTAAGTCGAGTATGATCGCAGCGATGGCGAATTATCTCGGTTACGATATTTATGATCTTGAGCTCACTGAGGTTCATAGTAACTCGGAGTTGAGGAAGTTGTTGATGAAAACGAGTTCTAAGTCGATCATTGTGATTGAAGATATTGATTGTTCGATCAATTTGACTAATAGGAAGAA